TAAACCAGATAAGCCTTGCATTGGAAGCTTTCTTTCCAGAATTCAAACACCGTTCCAGTGCTTGCAGCATTCAAGAGTTATGGCTCCTTTTTTAAACAAAAATGTTTGACCTACAAGAAAAGTACGTGCCTTCATGGGTGCAGACTACACGTCGTACTAAATTGAAGCCATGGTTTAATGGTGAGCTGCGGCGCCTTACCGGTAAACGGAATAGGGTATATACAAAATTTAAGAAAAACTCCACCTCCGAGACTTTCCAGCAACTTGAAATCATCACAAAACTTCTGCAAACAAAAATCCGTCATGCGAAAAAAGAATTTTTCAACAATCTGCCTTCTCGATACAAAACAACAAAAAGGTTGTTCTGGAATCTGGTCAAATGTAATAAAAAAAGATGGAGTGTGTATTCCTTCGCTTCAGCATGACGGTAAAGAAATGGAAAATAGCTTAGATAAGACCAGCTGTTTTGACACAATTTTTTCCTCCATATTTTCGTCGTGTTCGTCAAACAGCGTTTTGCCTACGTCTACTAACAGATGCATGACAGATATGGATGACGTAGCTGTTGATGAAAACGGCATCCAGCGTTTTCTCGAACACTTAGACCCTAACAAAGCAGGAGGACCGGATGGATTGAGAGGCGGTTTTCTCAAAATGTGTGCACCGTTCATCGCGCCTTTCCTTAAGGTTCTATACTCGAAATCATTGAGAACGGGAAGCCTGCCACGCGACTGGTAGGTGGCATGCGTTGTGCCTGTGTATAAATCAGGTCCTCGTGAACTAGTCAACAATTACAGACCGATATCCCTGACAAGTATAGCCTGCAAAATATTAGAGCACGTCTTGTGCAGCAATGTAATGACACACATAACCAATCAAAATCTTCTTAATCCAAGACAGCATGGTTTTAGATGAGGGCTTTCCTGTATAACACAATTAACAGAATTTGTTCACGAAGTTTGTAGTTCACTGGATGAATGCTCCTGTGCAGATTCGATATTTGTAGACTTCAGGAAAGCATTCAACCTGGTAGATCACGGGCTGCTTGTATGTAAGCTACGTTGGTTTAACATCAATGAACAGGTGATAACATGGATTCGGGAATACTTGTCCTTGCGTTCTCAGTGCGTAGTGGTAAATGGCGCAAAATTGGGTATGGCTAGCGTAACATCTGGTGTCCCTCAGGGCTCAGTGTTGGGCCCCTTGCTCTTTTTATTATTCATAAATGATCTTCCCGACACCATCGCTTCTTCCATCAGATTGTTTGCTGATGATCTAACGATATATAGGGAAGTTACAAGCGTCGATGATACCATTCTTCTACAAAATGATTTAACAAAAATGGAAAACTGGTGCAGTGATTCACATATGCAAATAAACGTGCAGAAAACTGTTCATATGCGTTTCACAAAAAACGCATGGCATCGACACTTTATAGTCTGTCTGGTTCTCCGTTATAAACTGTTTCAGAGTATAAGTACTTGGGCGCATTCCTTACATCATCCATGTGTTGGCACAGGCACGTCGATTACGTTGCTGCAAGGGCATGTAAGGTGTTGCGATTCTTGCAGCGTAACACAAAGCTGTTTCCTCAGCAGGCACACGATCTTCTCTACAAGAGCTACGTCAGACCAATATTACAGTATGGGTGCACTGTGTGGGATCCTCCCGCAAATGCCGACTGCGACAAGCTTGAGTGAGTTCAGAACATGGCTGCAAGATACGTTATCGGTAGCTATGAGAGAAACCTTAGCATTACTGCTACAAAGGAAACATTAAAATGGGAGCTTCTAGAAAAAAGAAGGCAAACTTTGCGCTTGAAGCTTTTTCACAATATATATCATGGCCACATTGGAATAGACCGTAATCAGTATATTTTTCAGCCCCATTATGTATCAAGACGAACAGATTATGAGCTCAAGGTTAGAGAATATAGCTGCAGGACTAATCTTTTTAAAAGCACTTTTTTCCCCAAAACTATTTCTGAATGGAATCGTCTGCCTGCTGACAAGGTCAGCATAATAGATAACGAAGCTTCATTCTGTCTTCAGCTGCAGTCGAATTTTATGCAGTGTTCAGTTCTTATCACATCGTTTTTGTATTTTTCATGTTTGTATAAACTTCATTTTGTTTTCTCTCTTCGGCTGGGTTAGCTGATCTTTATGTAGTTCATGTGTTTTGACAAGAATGTATGCCGCTATTTCTCCTTAGTTTTTTACTACCAATGTTCTTGAAATGTATGATTTATAAATTCTCTGTGTAACCCCCCCCCCCCCCTCACTGTAATGCCTAAATGGCGCTGTGGGTACGAGTGTAAATAAATAAAAAAAATATCAAGACTTCAGCAAACGGCATCATGTGAAGAACCTGCTTAACGAGTTTGAGGTTGAAGATGACAACTGCTCATGTGTACGGGTCTCTCCGAAAGGTGCTAGCAGTTTTGCGCTGCGTTGCTACACTGCTACAGACAAGGCCTTATCAGTTTTTGAAGTAACTACGCTGCGAATTGTTCTGCTGATTGCATGCATCCCTTTCGGTTCCCTTGTGTTATCAAAGGCCGGATACGCATGCCATTCACTTGATTACATTATGGAGCTATGCCTAGGCCAGTGTATCTTGAGATAAGGCAAATCCTAGTTTTGATTGTAATAGGAATGCTCCTTTATTTCCATTCACTGATCCATATTATTAGGTTTCTAACGAATAAGGTCGTGTGCTTCCCAACACTTGCTTGTTAGAGTTGGTGGTAGATGCTATTCAAAGCAGATATATGCACACACACTATGCCTGCTACAAATGCACGAACATGCTGTATATATGCACAAACATGCATTTACGCACCCTAAGCATGCACGCACGTTTGTGTGCATGTATGTATGCACATGCAAAATCAAAAATGTTTGGGGAGGGGGAGGGGGGAAGGATTGCAGCAGCCTAATTTGAGAATAAGTAACACTAGGACTTGCACAGAAAACAAGTATATGCGAAAAATACTCCCACACGTAACACAACAAATTTCCTTAAGTGCTTACTTATACAAACGAAACTATACTCCGCGCTTAGAGAAAGTTGAACAGACCCTTTTCATAATTACGCCACCTGACGGTGAGCTCTTCGTCACTTTCGCTTCACAAAGGGGCGTGGGATAGCTAGGACTTGCACAGAAAACAAGCATATGCGAAAAATACTCACACACGTAACACAACAAATTTCCTAAAGTGCTTACTTGTACAAACGAAACTATACTCCGCGCTTAGAGGAAGTTGAACAGACCCTTTTCATAAATACGCCACCTGACGGTGAGCTTTTCGTCACTTTTGCTTCACAAAGGGGCGTGGGATAGCTAGTACCATCATGAGGGTATGGAAAGCGAGCCGTCAAATGCATAAGTGCTGTGATGTTTGTGTTGGCGGCTAGATCTCCGTATCATCTGCTGCAATTGCACCGCTTTCTAGGTTAAAACGAGCTCCAAGTACTCTCCGATAATCTTTTTGAGCTGCTTCCACTGCACAATGAGCAATATTTTGTACCCTTCAACAGACGGTCTGGCTTGTTATGACTGACAATGCACGGATCCGGCCTGCAAGAAACTCTCATCGGCATGCCCTCCTGACGCGGTCTGCGCCCTGCAGGCACGAAAGAGGTGTCTGTGCGTGCTGCAAGAAACGCGCATCAGCGTCGCTGGAACGCACAGCCTGCGTCGCCTGCTGCGGTGGCTTCACAATGGCGGCAGACTGTAGTTCGCGTCCGCGGCGCTAGGGGCGCCCTTTTTTGAAAAGGGTCATTATTGATAAGAATGCACACAAGCTGAATAATTCTGAATTCATTGAGAGGAATTACGCGACCGTGATTAGAACGAAGTGCCGTAGTGTCCGTCACCTTCTATCCAATGCGTAAGTTTCTGATTTGCACTGTTCCCCATCGCACATCGCCTGCATTCTTCAGGAGGTGATCGAGCGATACGTTGCAATCTTTTCACCACAATGCCACGCATTACGACACATTACAATGGTTTCTGGACATCACTTTCTTATTTTTCGGGCTCTCGCGTGCAGCATGGCGTAAAGAAAGAAATTATGCAGCCGGGTCTCAACATGCGCAACGTGGTCACATGTATCCTTTTAAGGTTGACCCCGTTAGCGTTGTTTCCAGGCGCACCTGCAAGGTGGCGAGTGCTCAGTTGGAGTCACGGATAGGCTACCTTTTCTACAGTAACTTATCATGTGGACAGTGAGGCGGATGCTATATATTGTCATTAATCTTGTTATTGACGGTTTGTGTTGATGCTTCGGTAGTAACTTGCAGCAATGTCAACGGCATTGTTGCAGTCGTCGTGTGAGGTTGCCACGATGTTGGCAAAGTGCGTCTCCCAACAGTGTACGTGTATGTCAATTGTGAGACTAAGCGACCTTAACTTTTTTTTGCACTACCGCATTTTTCGCTCATACCAAAACAGTTTTCATAACATTTGACCAGTATAATAAATGCACTCCAACTTTGCTTCAATTTTTCTAGAAAACAAGTGTGCTCATTATGCAAGTAAGTACGGTATAACTGAAGAACGAGAGCCACTTATAAAAGCTTTCTTTTATAGAAGCCTTATTTGTGCAGCCCAGTCTGCTTTTTAGCCGAAGCCTCGTGTTGGACCTCCAAGCCTGGTGCTGCTGCAGCGCGGCTCACAAGAAAAAAGAAAAGGGTGGGCCAGGGCTGCCACGAGGCCAAGCGTCAGCTCGTGAGGAGGCTCAATAATGATGATGGCTGCTCTTCTGCTACGAGGGATGAATAAAAGGAAGTCACAACACTTCGCTCACCACCAGAAAACACCAACCTTGCATACACCGTCACTCCCATAATGGCAACGACGCCCCTCATAAAAAAAATTCGCACAAATGGTGGTGCCAGATTTCCCTCTAGGTATTATTGCGAGAAACTCTGTGAGAATCAGGAAGGCATGAATAACCTGGGGTTGCAGGCAAAAAGCCTTACAGGACGATGCCTACCTCGGCTGCCTTGCGAGCGTTGCCTATGGAGCGCTCACGCAGTACCGTGAGAGAGGCACCCAGTTTAGAGGCCATGCACTGCAGGGTGGCCAAGGAGGCGGCCATGTCGGCGGCACTCAGTCCCACCAGCAGGCCTCCGTCCTCCACGCCAATTTCATAGATAGCCTCACCCTGGCCTGCAGGCAACAAACATGCAATGATACTGAGACTATTACTGTTAAAAATTGGGGACCACTGCAGTCTGCCCAGTGTCATTTGGCACCACAGTAAAACCTCATTAATTCGCCCTTGGTTAATTTGAACTTGCAGGTAATTCAAAGCCAAGCCCAGGTCCCAGCTTCGCCAGGTGTATTTCTAAGGGGAAAAAACTATGGATACGAATGCGTCTGTATCCAGAATGTTAAATTCAAACTGGGAGCCCCTGGTCTTCATCGCTCCTAGTTGAAGTCAGCCCGCTAGTGATTACAATGTGTTGCAAAACCAAACAAAACCAAGTTTAATGGAGATGTGAAATTACAAAACAGAAATTTATTTTGGCAGATGAGAATTCAGACACTGCACTGAAGCCCTCGGGCAAGCTGCAAACGTGACAAAAGAAACGCAAGAGTGTGCAAATTGCTGATTACATTTAATTTTAATTGTGTTGACTCTGCCATGAAAGTCAATGTATTTTGGAGCATAAATACTTTGGCATCTAAGCTCACATTTCTGGCATCTCATAAATTTATGAACTCACCAGCCACAAACGTGCAGTAATTTGTCATAACACGCCCAGACCTGGCTTCTTTGAGATAGTATGATGCACTGTTCATTCATTCTAACACTTGCCCGCTGATTAATTCTGCTCAATTTGAACAGTTTGAATCAACAAGCTTTTACAATATTTGTTGGCACTAACATTCAAATATTTCAGTTCGGCTGGCTCATCAATGTGAAATGAGTCATGCTTTTTTTTTTCACGTTTTCTTAACACAGCACCACTTCAAATAATTCTTTTGAAGCCGGAAGAACAGTCTCTGGATTTCTTCGAGCCCATAAGTTGCTTAATTTGTAACCTGTGTAACAGCTAATTCTACTGAACAGAATGCTTGGAAACATTAGCAGCTTGTTTTTGGGTAGTGTAAATACAGAGCAGTGTTCACGCAAAAAATGCTTGGCAAGTGAGTTGATGCACCATGAAAGGTTAGTAGGTATAAATATCACCATTCAGGCGTGAAGTACAATACACTGTCTATGAATGTGTCAAATTTATAGAGCATAGTTTTTTAAAAAAGGAAATGAAGTAATGTATGATGTGAGTGTCAGTGCTGTTTTAATTAGCATTTAATTAAACATTTATTACTGTGCTGTCACGGTCACCACGGTCACATTCCATTTCGACATCAACACAATGAAATCATAGGCTCCATATGTTTGCACAATTAGTTTTGGATGGCATTCATTTTGATAAAAGTAACCCGACATTGGTTTTAAAACCCAGCACATCGAACTATGTTGGATTGTGTTCACCAAAGTGATCGTAAATAGCACACTGGTGTTCAATCAAGACATACTGGCTATGCAGAAGGTTCATTAGTGCAATGAGCAATGTGTCTTACTCTTTTTTGACCACAAGTTGACGCAACTAGCATTAACATGTTCGTGAACAGTAAAAGCACAGTTGAGATGAATACACAATGAAGGAACATATCCGCCCATACACTGGGCAACTTTCAAGAGTTAATTTTGTGATCTTAACACTACTTACTATATGGCAAGCAAACCATGAGCACATCTGCTCTGCAGAAGTAACAAGAACATTACAAGGCGACTTCCCAGACACCATGAAAATCAAATTCTTTTACCAAGAAAATAATATTCTTTTTTTTATCAGTACGATAGAAATGCCAACACACTTGTCACCCATTTTTTTACTGTCATGCCATCTCTTGCACTGACAAAAAAAAAAAAAGGAATTTGATTTCCTTGGTGTCCGTGATGTTGCCTAGTAAAGTTCTTGTTACTTCTGCATAGCAGACGTGCTCATATTTAGTTTGCTATATACTAGTAAGTAGTGTTAGGATTACAAAATAAACTGTTACATGTTGTGCTGTGTATAGGCAGGTGTGTTCTTTCATTGTGTGTTCATTCAAGAGCACTTTTACTGTTCATAAACAAGGAATACCATTGTGCCCACATTACCACCTCGGTAGCATTAAAAGTTGTACACACCAATGCAGTCACTACTGCTGAAGGGTGTGGCCAAGAACGTACCCTCGCGTAGCCTCCACTTCATCTGGGTGACAAGGTGCTCTAGACGGCTCTGCGATGGGTTGACCAGCTTCAGTTTATACTCGACATTTCCTTCAGCCGCCTCTGGGGGAAGCCACAGTTCCTCCGAATCAGGCCCAAACAGAGACTCCATGGTAGCGTAACTGGTCCGACCAAAGCTCCTTCACTCAGACATCCTTGCAAGGACCTACCAAAGCAAACATAAGAGAGAATAACATCGCATGCTAATAAGATGACTTGACAGAGAAGGCTATTATGAATGTAGGGATGAAAGAACTTTTGAGTCCGATAGGCCATGCTAGTTTCCTAGCCCAAAGCGGGCTGCTCCCACTAGTATTATGGTCACTATTTTCAAGGTTCATGTTGCAAATGGTGTAATTCTTTGAACAGTGCTAAATGCCAACTTATATCTTTTGCCCTACAAGATCATACTGTTATTTGGACAGTATATATGGGTGAACATTACAAATAGCTTGAAGTTTTTTTCACCTGTGCTGCACAGTATGACCTGTGCTAAACACATATAATGTATCAATCACCTAAAAATATTCCCGGATGCTTAAATTCATTAGATGCAATTTTTAAAAAGCCCCCAAAAGTGTAAAAGAGCTACTTTATAAATATAACTGTTTACCCATTACTTGGCTACACTTGCACAAAATTATATCTGAACACCTCTTATCATATAAAAAAAAAAAATTGGACTGTACCCAGAATTACACGGCCAGGTTTATGTCTGGTTTTTAATTCTATAAGAGCAGCAAAAAATTAATTAGACACTCCTTGGCTAGCGAACCCTAGCTATAACAATTGTCATGACCAACCAACTAGCCCAAACCACTAACTACGCCCCTAGCTCAACACTACATAAAAACTAAATTTGGACTTTTCTTCCAAATTTACAGTGATCTCGCAGAAACAAAAAACTTGTACATTTCCTCCCTTCACTCGATCTTCACGCAAACACGCTTATGCAAGAATATGTTTCAATCTGCACACCTGCATGCACTGAAACAGATTGCCTAAGGGCTTATCTAATTGTAAAACATTATGCTCTGTTTCAATTGTTTTTACATTCTAATCTCTCATGACCTATAAACTACCTCAAGAAAAAAACCCTAAACAAGGGCTGAATGTGCTCGAGCCATCATGTCTTCTTCAAGGCGAGAACTGTTCTAGCCCTGAAGAAGACAAGTCCACTAGTCAAAACAGCACACAACCTCTGTTTACACAATTTGTCATCACAAGCTGTCCTCCCCCTCCTGTCGTTTTATGGATAAACTACCTGTCTACTTGAGCACACCTGCACACTTTTGGGGGCCTAGTTTTTTCATGTTTCTTTTTTTTATATAGCGATACCTACAGTGCCAAACATGTACGTAATAAAAGTTTGCTCTTTAATTGCTCGCCTTTGCGAGCTACTCAACCCAGCTTCGCATGCTTTTCATGATCTGGGGACTGGCAGCTGGGGCTGTATATGAGCACAAGACCTGGGTTGCTTCACAGTGGCGACGATGGCCTGCATTGTCGTGTGCTCTCATATAACTTGTGCAGCGGCAATCCAATCATTAGGATGGTAAGCATTCATTCAAAAAGACAGGGCATGCAGACACAGCCATAAGAAGGAAGTCAAGACACCACGAACGCTGACTCCTATACCGACATAGGAATAATCAACTGCGTCTGGTGATCGACGCATGGCATATCGGTAATATTGGTAGCGCATGAGTGAGACAACCATCGATTAACTTGCATAAAAATGAAATCAAATGCCTTATTAGTTACTCCTCACGTAGACCCCCACGCGGGCAACATTGATAGATTTGCCCACTGCATGGGCATGTGCAAACGAGTTTTTGTGCCTTGTTTCCTTTCCACATTTGTGCGAATCTTGAGTTGCTAGTGGACATCTTGACTTTTTTTCTATTAGTGTTTGCAGGTCCTGTCCTTTAGAATGAACCTGACCTTTTTGCTGGCCTTTAGCTATGAGGCAGCATTTGGATACATAGATTTCATGCCGGAAAATCATTCTGTCATGCCCAATGATGGCCCTTCTGATCCAAGACGGGGTCAATATCTTGCTGACCTGTTAATATACTTCTTTTGCTTGCTTCTGTTCTGTGCATGTGATTCATTTCGTCACATTAAATGGCAGCGCTTGAGTCCGGGTAGGACAAATGCCTAGGTGATTCAAGGCTTCAAAGCTAATAAGTGTTTTGTGCTATAGCGAACTCTCACTTGTAAAAATGCAAGTTTGACAAATATTTCAGAATAACGAACTTTTACAAAAACCCCAACAGTTTTGGTATGCATTCTTTTGCAAATCTTTCAGTAAAGACACTTCTGAATAGTGAGCATTTCAGTTGATTGAACTTGGTCTGTGCATATGGACTCATTTTTTTAGGTCAATTCAATGAAGTTTTGCACTCTGCAGCCCTGGCGTAGCCAATGTGTGCTGCCCCCAAATCGGCCATACATTGGCAACGGTGCAAACTCGAGCATGCTAAGACAAAGCAGTTGTGCTGGGGACGAAAACGAGCCACGTGCACTTCAGTACCCGTTCAGAGATGTCCGTTTTAGAAACATGCCTCCAGTGTTGATCCGGAATCGAAAGAAGAGCTCGACGAAGAAGTTGTAATAGCTGAGGCAAGTTCAAATCCTGTATCTCTAGCTGAGGCTGTAGGGTGTATTAAAACATTGCAAGATTTTGTTTCACATCAGCAAGCTGTCCCAAAGACAGTGCACAGTAACATACTATATGGACAGTTTTGTCTCTTCTTGCGCTCAAAGGACGCCAGTCCAAATGAAAATTACAGAATTCGTTTCAATGTAAACTCCATTTCACACTTTTGGCGTGACGTCTGCTGTGCCGAATGCTGTACCGTATTCAAGTGAATATTCAGTTTATTGAACTTAAAGTATGAAGAACTATTTGGGTCCGTCGAAGTTCGCTCAAGTACACGGTATTAAGAATCGGCTACACCTGTTCCTTGCATCAAGCAACGGCTCTTTGACCCGGGTGTGACCGAATCAAAAACTCCCGCTGTGTAACTCCAGGGTAGGTGGAGCCGCAGCGACCGACAAAGGGTCGACAACGAGTTCAAAAGACCAGGCGCTTTCGGTTGCCGAATTCCCCTCCCACCTGACAACAGGAAGCACAGAAAGTAATTCGAGCCTCTACGCACACTATCGATCGCAATCGAGCCCCGATCGGCATCGAATTTATCTACAGCGATCAATCATCTCGTGAGAGTAAGCCAATCATAACCAAAACACTCGAACGTGGTCGAAAGTGTATTGTGAGACCAGTGTGAACGAACCCAAACATTGGTAAGAACACTGGCAGCGGAGAGGACTGGCGAAGGTTACCCAGGCACTGTCTAAATTACCACCCGCAGCAGCTGGGCGACAAAACAGGTTTGCGCATAATACATCATCGTGCAAAAAACCATGTAAACATGATAGACTGCGTCTGCACCTCAATCGGAAACAATCACATTGAATACACATGGGTTCAATGTGCGCAGGAGAATTTCACGCACTGCTGCCAAATATTTACGTGCCTTGGTCATGATGCAATGGGAAGTACTGTACAAGCACGTACACTGGCACAAAGATCCTGCGCGCGTCCGACGCGCATTATAACTTTTATCAGCGCGACTGATATCGTGCACACGGCGTCAATTGTTTATTTGATGTCTTAATTGAATAATACTGTCACTGAATGTCACAGCAGCTCCTTTTGCGCGGGCCGATAACGGTGTCGCAAGACAACACTCACCGTATGGAAACACTGGTATGGTCGGCTGCATAGAGTTAGTATACTATGGTCGACTGCGGTATCACACCAAGTTCGTGAGCTTGGCTGACAGTCGGCAAGAGTTGGGCATCCGAACGACCCAATGTAATCGCACGCGCAGGGCACCTTACGCCATGTTGACATCAGCACAGAACATCAGCTGCTGGCATGCACGTCACTCCATCACACAGACACAGCCTCCTAAATTTGCCTTGCCTGCCGGATTATTGGCGGTCACTTGGAAAGCGGCCGTCGTCGGAACTGTGGTAGTGGCGCTACTTAAGTAGGGTTGTCTTCAAACAAGTTTATACGTTTTTTGAGCTTTTATGCAACAAAAATAACGCAAAAAAAGTTTTGAAAAAGCGTGCACGTAATTACACGTAATTATAATTAACCCTACGTAAGTGACGACGCCATAGATGACGGGCGTTTTGCGTTCATTCAGCAGACAAACACTTTAGTACAAGGCATAGCCTTTGAAACTAGCAAACGCCAGAGTTGTTAATCTTAAAGGCCAAGTACAAAAACCCTTGACTCTTCGTATGTGACGTCTCCATAGATGACGGGCATTTCGCGCTCATCCGGCCGGCAAGAACAATATGGGAGGCTATGCTACAGAACACCACCTCCACATGCATGTCATTGACACTCCTTGGTTACGTGTACTTGTGGACGGGAGCAAAGGCTAGAGAGGAAAACCAGGAAATGGTAGAGTGTATATCAAAGGACATTCAGGAGTTAGGAAGAGAGTGCGAGATAATTATACTAGGAGATATGAATGCGCACATAGAAGATATAGATGAGTATACTGACTCAACAGGCAAAATGATCATGGATATGTGTGAAAGGCATGATTTCATCATTTGCAACAGTACCGAGAAGTGTGAAGGGAAAATAACATGGGTGATAGGAAGGCTGCAGTCAATGATAGATTACGCACTGATGTCACATAGGATGTATGATAAGCTCAGGGGAATGCACATAGCTGAAGGTGGCTCCAGAAGTCTGGGTAGTGGTCACAAACGTATCAAGCTAAGTTTTGAAAGAGCAGCGAAAGTGGGAAGGAGACAAGATGAGCAACTACAGGAAATTTTTCATTCAGAAAAACAAATAGAAATTGCTGCTAAACAAATTGAGAAAGTAATAATTGAGGATAATAAAACTGTGTGGACATATACAAATCTAACTAGACTGTTTGGGCTAGAGCTTGCTAAGGCACGTGACAAGTCAATCCCGGAAAAGAAGACACAAGCCCAAGAGTTGGTGGAATGAGGAAGTTAAGAGAGCCTTAGCGAAACGTCAGGAAGCCTCTAGGGAACACAGACATGCTAAGCAACGGGGTGAACCGAGAGATGATGTTGAAAGAAAATGGGAAATCTTTCTAAGCTCTAGAAGGGAAGCATCCCTCCTGATCAATAAAAAGACTAGAAGAAAGGGTACTCAGTGGCTGGCAGAACTACATAAAAAGGACAGAAAGGCAGCTGTGAAATTTTGGAACCATCTAAACTCCCTAAGAAAGGAGACGAGCCTAAAGCAGAGCTTTATTATTTATAACGACAGCTCAAGGTGCTAGGCAAGAAGGGGACGAATCTATTGAATATATAAGAACAAGGGTGACAGAAAAAATTCAACAAAGGAGTGCCTTATGCACCACTATAGACAGGGATGGATCAAGTGGCACAATGGCTCCATTTTCACTTTCACAACGAGAGTGGCAAAGGGCTGAGAAGAGGGTTCCAAGTAGTACATCAACAGGCCCAGATGGCATTCCAATCATGCTGATAAAGACATTGGGTCCGAAGTCTAAACAGACTTTGGGAGAGGCAGTGAGCACAACAATAATCGATGGTGAAGTCTCTGGTGGATGGAAACTTAGCAGGATGAGCATGATCTATAAAGTAAAGGAGGACAAAGATGACATAAACAACTACCGTCCTATAACAGTGACATCAGTGGTCTACAGGCTGGCGATGCAGATTATAAAGGAAAGACTGCAGACATGAATAGAGGATGAGGGGGTGCTGGGGGAACAGCAGAATGGGTTTCGGAAACACAGGAGGTTGGAAGAAAATTCGTTCTCACTGACGCAGTGCATCGAAATAGCAGAAAAGGAACTCAGGCCCCTGTGGCTAGCATTATTGGATATCAAGGGAGCGTACGATGGCGTGGTTCAAGAGGACTTGTGGGGAATACTAGACACACTGGGTGTGGAAGATGGAGTCACTGATCTTTTAAAGGAAATCTATAAAAGTAACAAGGTAGTTATAAAGTCGGAAAAACAGGTATCCAAGCCCACAGAGATGAAACGGGAACTTAGGCAGGGGTGTCCACTGCCACCCTTGTTATTCATGATGTACCTACAAGGATTAGAGGCCAAATCGGAAAGAAGTGGACTTGGCTTCAACCTCTCTTTAGTCAAACAAGGAAAACTCATTGATCAGGCACTACTAGCATTAATGTACGCCGATGATATAGTGCTAATGGCCAACAACAAGGAAGATTGGCAGAGATTGATGGACATCTGCGGTAATGAGGGAGATAGGTTAGATTTTAAATTCAGTGAGGAAAAATCAGCAGTCATGATTTTCAATGACAACAAAGGTAGTGAGCTTAGAATACAGGAGGTCACGCTAGAGATAACAGATAAATACTAATATCTGTGCGTATGGATAAGCAATGGGACCGAGTACCTAAGGGAACACGAAATATACGTGACGACTAAAGGTAACAGGAATGCAGCAGTGATGAAAAATAGGGCACTATGGAATAACAATAGGTATGATGTTGTGCAACGATAAGGAAAGGGGTCATGGTTACTGGGCTGACGTTCGGCAATGCGGTCTTGTGCATGAGATCAGAAGTTCAAGCAAGATTAGAAATTAAGCAACGTGGAACAGGTAGGCTTGCTTTAGGAGCTCTAGGGAATACACCAAATCAGGGAGTACAAGGTGATATGGGATGGACATCATTTAAGGGCAGGGAAGCTAGCAGCAAGATAAAATTTGAGAAGCGATTGAGAGAAATGGGGGAGTATCGTTGGGCTAGGAAGGTTTTCAGCTACTTGTACATGAAGAATATCGATACAAAATGGAGGAAGCGAACCAGGAAATTGACTGGTAAATACTTAGAAAACAGCAGGTGGCCAAACCAAAGAGAACTATCGGTTAAGAAGAAAGTGAAGGAAACGGGAGTATTGCGAACCAAGACATATCGGCCAAATACGAAGGGGTAGACATAGTATGCAGTGCGTGCGGAGAGGAAGAAGAAACCGCCGAACACTTGATAATGTTCTGTAAAGGGCTTCACCCTATAGTTCAGGATGATGGCGCAGAGTTTTTCAAAGCACTGAGGTTTAGGGACAGGGAGGGCAAAACAGACTTTAAGCGGGTAGACTTAACTAGAAGGAGGTTATCTGATTGGTGGCTAAAGTCAAGGCACGAGTGAAAATTCAATGCTTCACTGCAAAGTACGAATCCTCAACCTCACTATTTAAAGGAAAAAAAAGATAAATCTAATGGTTAGTTCACTAAGTATTACGGTTAGGATGCGTTAGCCGCCGCCCGATCTAAAGAGTACAACCACTTCCACCCACCCATCCACCCACCCACCCACCCATCCTTCCATCCATCCATCCATCCATCCATCCATTCATCCATCCATCCATCCATCCATCCATCCATCCATCCATCCATCCATCCATCCATTCATATATCCGTTCATCCATCCATCCATCCGTTCATTCATCCATCCATCCATCCATTCATCCATCCATCCATCCATCCATCCATCCATCCATCCATCCATCCATCCATCCATCCATTCATCCATCCATCCAGCCGTCTAGACGTGTTTCGATTCTCGGACCGCGTGGGCTTGGTACTGTCTTCTAAGCAGTCTACGTAGACTGTCTACGTGCTGTCTAAGAATTGGAACGTGCTGTCTACGTGCTGTCTAAGTACATGGCTTTGCCTAGTTGTCGTACTTGCGGGCTTCGAATCGCACTTGCGGCTTTGTTTATTGCAATGTTTCGGTTTTGTTTTGAATAAACCGTTTTGAACTTCGTGACCCGACTCGCATTGGTGAGCCGTGAGCTAAAAAAATGAAGGTGGTGAAGCATAAATGATAAACTATGGTTTATTCGTGACAAAACAGCTGTTTCCTGACAAACAGTCATGCGAAGCCAAACGGAACGTAAAGTACGAAGATTAGGCAAATCCATGTACTATAATTTCGATGGTCGCTGGAGCGCCATGCGTTGCAGCTCCCATAGACACTAGCGCCAGAGTCCCCTCTAGTGTATAAATAGGAAAGTCTATGGCTCAAAGCAATGCCGCCGCCGCATCACAGCGCTCTTAATGTCAGCGCATGCAGTAGTGTTGCAGTTACGCTTCCTGATTGGTTGCTCCCATAGCCCCACTAAGGCGACACGCAATCGAGGAAAAAAATGTTACTATATATATATATATATATATATATATATATATATATATATATATATATATATATATATATATATATATATATATATATATATATATATATATATATATATATATATATATATGTGTGTGTGTGTGTGTGTGTGTGTGTGTGTGTGTGTGTGTGTGTGTGTGTGTGTGTGTGTGTGTGTGTGTGTGTGTGTGTGTGTGTGTGTGTGTGTGTGTGTGTGTGTGTGTGTGTGTGTGTGTGTGTGTGTGTGTGATGTACTAGACAGAGAAGAAGAGACAACACCCGATCCTGGGCCAGCTGTTCTTATTCTGCCTTCGTCCTTCTCTTCTTTGTTCTAGCTACCCACGCGCCGAAACGCCAGCGTCTTTCTTGGTCATGACACTCGGCCATGACTGCGCGCGCGCGGAGCTGGCGGCAAAGTTTCTGGTGGGCGGGCTTGGCTGCATCGTGGTGGTCAGCCCGGACCACAATGCAACATGGAGCGACGGTCTGGGGGAAGCGTCTCTGGTGGACGGCACTGGCTGCCTCGAGCTGGTCGCTCTTTTGCACGCCACGATGTCTCTTGTAAAAGTGCTGTGGACTCAGGCGGCCGGCACTGGCTGCCCCGTTGCGGCCGACGCTCTCGGCCGTGCCGCGATTTGGTCCCGGTATCTGCCAAAGGTAGATCTGGCTGTCGATATACTGGCTGCATCTCGAAGATCAGCCTTGGCCACGCTGAAACTGGGAGCCA